ATTATGCGCTATATCAAAGGTACAATTGATTTTGGCTTATTTTACTCATCATCCAACAATTTCAAGCTTGTAGGATATAGCGACAGTGATTGGGCTGGAGATATGGATGATAGAAAGAGCACTACAGGGTTCGTGTTCTTCATAGGAGACACTGCTTTCACTTGGATGTCAAAGAAACAACCAATTGTCACTCTTTCTACTTGCGAAGCAGAGTACGTGGCTGCAACCTCATGTGTTTGTCATGCAATTTGGCTTCGAAATCTATTAAAGGAGTTAAGTTTACCACAAGAAGAGGCGATTAAGATTTGTATTGATAACAAGTCTGCAATCGCGCTAGCAAAAAATCCTGTTTTCCACGATAGAAGCATATGCGTTATCACTACATCAGAGAATGCATCGAAAGAAGGGAGATACAAGTGCAGTACGTGAAGTCTCAAGACCAAGTTGCAGATATTTTTACCAAGCCACTGAAGAGTGAAGACTTTATTAAAATGAGAAGTTTGCTTGGAGTCACAAAATCAAGTTTAAGAGGGGGTGTTGAAATATAAACTTGATTTTATTTGTTTAAATAAAGCTTCATTTCTAGAAGCTTATTCTAGAATATGTGGTAGGTATGAAATTATTGTGTAGTAGGTGTGGTAGGTGTGGTAGGTGTTGAATTATTGTGTGGTAGGTGTGAAATTATTTGTAACCATTGGATTGGAATTGTGGTGGCACAATCCTGACCATTAATTTAGGAGGTGCCACTAGTATAAATAGGGGTGGAGTCTTTGAGTTTGTATCAAGCCAAGTAAAGGTGATAAATAAGAGTGAAGCTTAATTCATAAGTTGTGTTTTTAGTCTTTGTCATTTCCTAAAAGTTTTTCCATTCCAACAATACTTTGTTTAGATAATACTTTAGAATGGATTCATTTATTAAGATTTCAAACTTCGGTTACATCAAAATCAAAATTTTGATTTGGTTCTCCATATGATTCAATCACCTTGATTTTCTCTGTGATTTTGTTCGGTTAAGATGGTTTAACAATTCATCAACTCATTCATGCAAATCGGCCGAATGTACACACCTACTACTTAACAGGAATAAATATTGCTATAAGTTTGGACATTTACAGGAATTGCTGAATTTTTGTAGAACATTCCTGAGTGTTCTACAATCTTTTAGAAGAATTTAGGTCATTCCATCCTTGGAGATGCCAGGAAAGGGAGTATGCTATGGAATTCTAGAAGTTAATTTTCATTAAATTTCACAATAATATTAAAATCAGCTGCTTCAATCAAAGAGGATTTCGAATCTGTTACATGAAAGGAGCCTTAAGTTGTGTGGTGGGCTAAAATATGGTAATTTAATCTTACATGCATGGGAAAACCAAAGATGTGGTTTTATGAGTTTTATGAGACTGCTTAATTTTAGGCTAGTTTTTTTGTTTTATTGATTGTTCCTTAAATTGAGAGAATTTTAAGGAGTATTTTTTATTATATTTTTTTATTTGAATTTGCTTCTTATCTCTTAATTTCCCCTGAGTTGGATAATGTAATTATCATGATATGAATGAATAATTCGCTCTACTCAATCGGAACTTCCTTTTAGTCATCCGCAATGTCATCCATATGTATACTTGTCATCTATGTTATCCGCAATCAATTCTTGAAAGACCATTCATTAGAATTTTGGAAGATTTACATGCATACCACTCAACTCATATGTATTTACATAGCTAACACTTGAACTTCACTTTTTTACATTCATACCACATTAGCTATACATCAAATGATGTTTAAAAGTTAAATTGATGGTGTTTTGATATGATATGAAGGATTTGGGTGGTAAAAACAAAAAAATAAGTTGGATGTCAGATATGTAAATACATAAGGGATTGGGTGGTATGTATGTAAATTCCCTATAAACTTTTTTGTGCTGGACAGGCGACTCCTCCTCATCCCTTATTAGAGGTGTAGTTTCCATTCAACTTTTGAAAGATTGTTGATCAAGATTTTTTATTCTGGATTTGTTGCTTTGTGGTTTGAGCTACCCAAATTTGATAGGACAGGAACATAAGCATCTCAGAAACACATTCACCCACCGGAGAACCACCTTAGGTCACATCCTACGCCAGGTGTAACATGAAGGCCGGGCTCATCGTAATGGACTGAACATTTTTTAGATCTCACGCAACAAATTATTGCGTGTAATAAGAGAGAGAGATTTGACAAAAAGAGGTTGATAGAGACATCCACCATTGTTCTTTTTTACTTTCCCTTTACCTAACACTGTGATCTAGCTGAGTCTAGTTGAGTCGAGTCAAGCATGTTATGAATTGGACCTGGCTTGATTGAATCATAAATTCTTTATGTTCAATTCGAGCTAGAGCGAGTCTTGATATATACGTTGATATATGGCTTGCTTAATTCTTTTATTGATCATATTTGATTGGCAGGTGCCTTGTTAAATAAGCTAAAAATTCAAAATAGTACTTGATTTTCTATAACAAATTAAAATTTTGATTTTTACTTGATTCTTTCTTGATGCTAGTAAACATGCTAAAATTTTAAATGAGTCCATGTTTTTTTCAATATAAAATTATTAGCAAATAATTTTCAACTTCAAATAAATAAAAAATTAAATAAATCTCAATTTAAAATCTAACTAGTTCATTGAAATAAAAAAATAAGAAAAAACAAATTAAATTTATATGCATATTGATATTAAATTATAGTATATTACTATTAAAAATATAATTAAATAAGTTATAATTATAAAAAATTTATTTAAATAATATATTATGTAAGTATTAAATATATAACAAGTTACTTATTGAAAAACGAATAAATTTATTTGTGAACATTAATAACGGAGTTGGCCTATGCTCAAGTTTGGTTCATTTATTCTTTGAGCTATAAAATAATGTTCAAAATTGTTTATTTACTAATTTGAACAAGCGGAATTCAAGTTGGTCATCATGTGTATTGGTTCATTTGCAGCCTTGGCTTGACCTCTCCAGAGTGCCACTTATTAGTCATGGAGAGAATTGGGTGCTATGCAGACAAATGATCTCTTGGTGTAGGTTTACACTGGGCCAACTGAATTACGTCACATAATGTGATGCTTCAAATCAAGCAAAATAGGAATCAAAAGTTCACGCAATAATTGAAATGCAATTCTACACTAGTTGACCATCTCTATGCCGTGTCATCATTTTGTTATCATGGTTGGCATGCCAATGTGCTGTCCACATCTTAGTCATTATCGTACTTCAATTTTTAAAGTGCCTTTGCCTTGTGCATCCATTTTTGCTATCATTGCCTCCGCCTTCCTAGTGCATTGAATCCATTTTGCCCCTTCCATCATTGTCATTGTCACTGCCACAAGCGCGCCCACCCCCCCCCCCCCCCCCACACACACATAATTTATTTGAATTCTGTTTGGTTTGGATCAAGAAGTTTGCTGTGCAACATGTTGCAAATCAAGGTTATGGGAGCAAGTTTTTGGGGGTGTTGTGGTGGTAGCAGAGGGATTGTGCGGTGTCGTGGTCAGCGGCCTCCATGGTATGGACTATGGACCCTTATTTCATGTATATATATAATCAGGACCACTTTTCATAATTTTTGTTGTCGTCGTGAGAGATGTGAATTGAATAGCAGAAACTGGTTCATGAGATTTGAATCAAAGCATTGAGCAGAAGCGTACAATATAAGAAAACACAACCCTTAACGTGGAAAATTCTGAGAATAGAAAAAAGCTACAGAAGCACATCACACAAAAAAAAATGACTATAAAGAAAATAAAGAGAATGTACAAATTACACTACGTTCAAACCTCTCTACACTCGTGGACACAATGACACACACAATCAACTCCTTGCTCAAGAAAATTTGAGATCGGAAATCCCATACTCCATCGGTAAAGCTGTAACTTTATGTTAAAATGACCTAAAGTCGGTTGTTTGCATTGGGATGCCCTGATAGTAGTGCTGCGGCGATCTAAAGGGGGCTACATCCAAGTGTTGCAGTGTCATGTTTTCGGATTTTGAACTTAGACTGATGGCTGCAGCACTGTATTCTTGGCATTGGGGTGCTGATCGACGTTGAGGCACTGTTGCTTGGTGTTGGGACATAGTGTACAGAAAAAAATTTTCTGGAACAGCACCCCTGAACTCAATTTGGGGGCACCATGCCCCCAACCCACCCCACCCCAACCCAAACACACACACACACAGAGTAACATTTTTGACACGGTAAAATCTTTTCCGCTACCCGTTATTTTTTCTATCTAGGATTTTCACATAAATCTGTGTGTTCAACTTCACCATATAACCTTTATTAATATCTTTAGAGGCCAGCCAATCTATCAACCATGAGTCCTGGAAAATCATGTGCAGCATCGTTAGTTCTGTATATGATTCACAGAACCATAAACCGCTAGTATTCATTTTAACTTCTGATTCTACGTAGAATTTAATGTTACTGTTCGAGATTGCACTTCTATTAGGACTAATATATCATTGATACGTTAGTAAATGTTGATTGCCTTATTCTTGAATTAATTAATTTTTTTTTTTTTGGCAATTAGCTTTTGATAAAAAAGTATGTAATCAGGACTCGAGAGATTTACAGTTCCCCGTTCTTTAGATTGGATGTGAAGTATGCAGCTTTGTTTTTGCTTCATGTTGTATTTATCTGGAGAAGGCACCAGTGGAACTTTCTTCCATCATTTTTATTATTGTGCATGAAGTGAGATACAAATCTTTTACTGTGATAAACCAGTTCTCTTTCTCTTTTGTGGTTTTTATTTACACTACTGTATGATTTTTACCATGTTTTCAATGATTTGGAGCGTGTCTTCTAATGAGATCTGAAGCGTATTATTGGGTTTAAAAAAACAGTTTTTTTAAATGGTCGATCGTTTATTTTCTTAATTTTCTCATGGAATATGATGCTAATAAGCACTGGAGCTTCAAGATGCAATTTGTTCTACTAATTATCTTCAAAGTTGCAAACATTACTACATATTGCTAAACATAATCTCTTCCAGCTTCAAAGAACGGCCATTGTGGAGCATCCAACTTTGCAGCTCTTGACTCACATTCTTCCACTCATCAATTCACATTTCGGCATCAACACCGACTCATAGAACAATTAAAAACCGTAGATATCATCATACCCATCTTGCGCAGGCTTCCATGAACAAATCCAAATGCCGCATCCACACAAAAACCAAGCCTTTCCTAAACAACTTCTCCATGCTGTTTAACTTCAGAGCTTTCATCAGTCCATACCTTGAGCTCCTCACCCTGATTCTTCGTCCACTGATACTTCTGGACCTTGTAATGATGTCTGCTTGAAAATACCGAGAAAACTAGGAAGTTCAGTACACCAAGAACCGCAAGCATCCAGTAAAAATAATCCAACCTCCCTTTATTCAAATTATTCTTGATCCACCCCCCGCTTGTAACTTTATCAACTACAGTCACCAAAACACTACTCAAGAAGAACCCCATTGATAAGGTGCTAAGAAACAGTCCCGTGCTCATTGACTTCATCTTCTCCGGCGCCTCACGGATGAAGAACTCCAGCTGCCCCACATAAGCAAACCCTTCCCCCATACCAACCAAGCAGAACTGAGGAACAAGCCAGAACACACTTATACTGTTCTTTCCCTCATTTTGAAGCCGCCCTCCCCTTCCCATCTCACCCGCTGCAGCGACCGCCATGGCAAGCACCGAGAAGATGAGGCCGATGCCTACTCTTTGTAGGCTCGTGATGCCCTGAACATTGTGCGTGAAGCGGCGGGCGAGGGGGACAAAGAGTTTCTCATTGAGGGAGGTTACGACGAGGACGGTGATGAAGAGGAATAAGGAGAGGGAGCCTGAAGGGTAAGCAAAGGAGCCAATTCTGCGGTTCATGTAGGTGGCTTGCTCTACTGAGAAGGTGGTCATTTGAGAATATATGGTCCAGAACATGATGCAGGCTGCCCAAATTGGTAGCAGCTTTAACACCATTTTAACTTCTTCTACCTCTGTTACAGTTGATGTTTGATTTGTTTTAACAGCCTTTGTTTCTGGATCGACAGATTCTGAAGCTGAAATTTCATTTGTTTGCAGGATTGCTGCTTTGTCAAGCCACCTGCAATGAAGGTAGGTTATTGAGTTTTTTTTGTTATAATTAATGCTGCTTGATAACTATTTGATTTTTTTTTCCTTTTGATATATGAAGTTTGTGTCTGAGTAGTTGGAAATCGAAGAAAAAGATGATTTTTATAAGAGGATTATGAGCATTACCTTTGCAAAATATTAATTAAAATATTTATAAACAATGATTGTCTATTGCCAAAAATATTATCTTTTAGAATGCCAAATAATTAATTATCTTGTAGTTGAGACTTAATCTTACGTCCTAAGCATTGTTTGAGAGGGATGTTTCATTTTATTTTTGTTTTATTATTATTATTTTTAGAAATTTAATCAATTCTGGTAAACTTAAATGGTTGATAGGCACCTAACCTCTAAAATCATTACTTTTACGCAATTATTAGTAAAAGCTCATAGCTTTAATAACACAACTGGGTAAGCTGATACTGTTATTATTACTTCTCTACCCCCTAACAAGTTGTTTTTATTTTATTTTTAATAAAGTTAGTGTTCTGTTCTAAGTATTCAGTAATTATTTTCCAGGGTGTTTTTAATGATTGCTCTGTTGCATAACTTTCTTTCCATTATTAATTACTGGCCATGATATTATGAATTCCTAAACTATTTATTTATTTATTTTGTTTTGTTATATATATATATACAAAAGGAATGGTCCAGGGTCTACCTGAGACGGTCGGTATGCGGAGCCACGGCCGCCTCATAACCATTAAGCTCCTCCACCCGCGCACGATAACCCA